GAGCACGTAAAACGTAATTAAAACGTGAGGCCGTTAAGATTATTAACGTGCAAGACGGGGACAGTTCAGAGAGAAACATGGCGTTGTAGTCCAATTCCAATCTAGCTACAAGCAAGAAAAAAGGATGGAGAGACAAACTAAAATCTTCGGCTAGAACTAGTTCAGAAGTTGTGATTCGTCGTGGCTTACTCCGTAGGCTGTTGTCGATATACATCCAACCATTTTGCATAGTTCGTGAGTTCCCTTTTCATTCATAAACGGTTGCTAGCAGCTTTTTAGAGGTCGCCAAAATCTACACGAGATCTAAGATCATATTAGCAACACAAGATTTGAAACTGTGAAAGGATGGTTGCCGGAAACAATGACATTGCCAACTCAGAATGTCTAAACCAATGTGTACTTCACCTGGCAACACATTTGAGTGAAAATCTAAACTCGATGGTCTTTTCCTGCCTCTTTCTTCACTGCTTCAAGGCTGATCACGGAGTGGGTTCGAACAAAATGGGAATGTTTTGCAGCTAAGAGGGTATTCCAACGTTATTAGAAAAATAAGCGCCATGAGATGCTCTCTGCACTACTCAGAGAATATTCTCTATTTTTTTTTAGTATTATCACACATTTCTTATGTTTTTCTGTATATCCTTGCTAGGTCATTATTGTATTCTGTTACTTACTTGATACTTGAACGGCCCGTCCTCACTGACTGTGCGGGCCCGCATAATCTCCATTTTTCGGAGTTCTGTTGGTTTACCTATTGTGTTTCCCTGGAGTCCCGAGGTCACCCTAGCCAAAACCTGGCCGGGTCGCCACCACGACAGTCAGTAGCAACCCTTGTGAATTAAGGGGAGATTTGCCACTTTGCGATTAATTTGACACCAGGACAATGGTGGACCCTGATACTGGTTTACGCTTAGCTGGGTTTCCTAATGCAGGAATCGGACTCCCTCTCAGCTTGGGAGACCTTGCTGGGAAGATAAATCCTTCCGCTGTGCATCACAACTCGACACCCAGAGGAACACCTCCCAGCCGTGATGAGGGAGTAAACCATTGGGATGGATGCGATTACGGGTACTGGAAATAAGTAATGTAAAATAGGATCGATGATAGGAGCAAGGAGATACTGTACCCTCAAGGTGTTGGTTCAACCACGTCACTAGTCCATTAACTGTTACCTCTATTTCTCGTGGTTTCTGGATAAAAAAGGGTAAGGCTCCCAACGTTGATCAACCCCTGAGGGATGTGCCATGTATTCGACTTCATTAAATATCGTCGGAGGTGGCCGAATGCATACCTGGCCTTTACAATGAATCGCGGTGGCCTACCGATGTATCGAGCCAGTGCTACTATCCTCGCAGACAAGTCTGGTACCAATTTGCCGACCCCAGAGAGATGGAAGACTTGGTGAGCCATAGGCGCAAGGATCTATTCCACGTGAGTGTCGCTTCCAACCACGTCCTTCACGCCCTTTTCCTAGGTATGGTACCTAATGAGGACGAATAATAATAGTCATCTCTTAGCATGATTAGCGTTTTTCATCTAAGTAAGAAATTGGAGTTCATTAGTAATTCAGATTACTTCTCGTTCATATGTGGATTCTGGTTGTAATCGAAAAGCTATTGAAAAAGGATGGCTAGCACTGCGGAATCTTGCGCAGACAGGTGTCGTGACGCTCTTCGTTTTACTCATTTACTTATTTATTTGTTTACCTATTGTTTAATGAAATACATTCTAAAGCTACTTCGACCTGGAAGCCATTTGATAAGAAAACAAATAGGAAGAAAAGGTCTCTTTTTAAGATGCGAAGTAAAAATTCAAATGCCAATTTAATTCCTAGTAAACACTGATACGTTCGCCTATGGTTACTGAGAAATTGACTTTCTTACAATAAAAGCACAGAGACTCCTTTAAGAAAAGTGCTTCAGTTTCAATTTTTTTTCAATTCATACAGAACCTCTGCTCTTAAGATATCGATTTTCCTTCTTAAAATGTTTCTTATAGCTCGTGGTCGATCATACTTGAACGAGTTATTTCATCTCGAGGATAAATCACGCTTGGCTTCCGAAGACGACTACAAATTTCTTTCCGATTACATTAAAGAAGTGTTTGAGACAATGGCATTGGTAAACTACCCATATCCGGCAGAATTCTTTTCTCTGTTGCCTGCTTGGCCAGTAAAGGTAAGGAAGTAGATAGATAGGGAGGATATGACAGAGGAAATATAAAGCGCGTAAGGACAAAAATTGCAACAGTATATTTTTTCATGTTCCTACAACTTGCGTTTGGATGCATGCAGCTCAGTAGTGAGAGATGCCGTGAAATATACGCGTAATTACCAATTCAACCCGTCATTAATCAAGCTCTCCAAGGAGTCGGCAAACTGGCACCAGATTTTTTCGGGAAAACCTCACTCCAATCTTCAATGGCTGGAGACAACATGTGGTGAAAACTTGGGAACGATGTAGCAATGGAATAATGGAATTTTCGTAGAAGTCAAAGTTGACTACCATTCAACAATACTCATGAAAAAGAAAAGAATTCAAGTAGCAGCCAAAATAGGATGCAAATTAGAGGGCATGGATCCAAGACGACGAGTCGAAGGAAAAGTGCTGGGACGAGCAAATATATAGGGGTTGTTCATGTAGATAAGGCAAAATAATTTTCATTTCCTGCTTGCCTTCATAATAAGCTTTTTTGTTTATTGTGGCTCGTACTGCCGGGCCTCAGTTCATTGTTTATCTCTCAGTGAACACAGATACAAATAATTAATATGTATTCTTTCTTGAAAAGCTTGCACGAGGTTGATAAATATATTTATTTTCGGCTGTTTCGACGTCTTCGTCTTCCTCAGAGCCGATTTTCCGAGTCGATGGTCCATGATTGTTGTTCGTCTCGACGTTGCGGTTTCGCCTTCGTGTCGAGCCAGGTCTTCCTCAGTGATCCATCTTCTCGAATGAGGCATCCTCACTCAGTGATGCCCTTTTATACACGATGCCGATGGTCGATATATTGATAATGTCCAATGGTAACAACTTGTATTTCTTCCGGACATACATCATTGCGGACATCGTGCAGAAGTCGGTGTTTTTATCAGCTAGCTACGATCATCACCTCTGAGGAAGTCGAAGACGTCGAAACGTTAGCCGAAAATAAATATATTTATCAACCTCGTGCAAGCTTATCAAGAAAGAATACATATTGATTAGTCACACCGAGGTTCAGGGAAAGTCGGTTTCGACACAAAATAATTAATTTCGAAACCGACCGTCTTTTAACTTCGGCAGTAGATTAATCAACATGTGTTTATAATGTTGGGCTTACACGAGGTTGATAATAATGCTCATTCGGCTAACGTTTCGACGGTTTGGTTTTCAGTCTTCTTCTTAGAAGACGAAACCATTGAAACGTTAGCCGAGCAAATAATTAAGTCATTTCCTGGATGGTAACGAGAGTCAAAGCGTATTTAATATTTTCTTTATGATTTTATCGCTGTTCTTTGTTTAAATTTTAAATAAAGGTTACTCAGTCTTACTGTGATAGTAGCGTTCAAAGGCATACATCTTCTATTATCACCAGCGATAACAATTCTTTACATAGGCCGACATGACATACATGTTGTGCAGATTCCAACACTTCCGTTCGATTCGTTTCCTGGAATCCTCATTATCAAAGGATTGCGATTTGAGTGTGAGTTCAGCTGTTGCTAGGAAATTTATGGTCTTCGTCATGGATGTCGTTGCATATTAGGCGAGCACTTGATTCTTCTCGAAAACCTAGGATAGCTGTCCGGAATGGCCACGAAATCCTTAGCATAGAGGAAGTCGTCGGCCTTTGTGGGTAGGGCGCTTCGTCAAAAATAAGTCTGGTAGCAATTTGCCAACTCCGGAAAGGTGGAAGGATTGGTTAACTCCGGGCGTGGCGAGCTTGTGTCATCACATGTGTTTTGCACGGCACCTCTAATCACTTCGTTTCCAATGCTTCCTCTATTATAGTAACGATATTTGTACTTGCATGCCTATGCATACATCTACATTATATATATTCAAGATAGATAGATGTGCAGATACGTGCGGACAGATATATGTCACTGGTCAAAATTTCATTAGTTCAGGAAGCCTGTAAATTCCTCAGAAATGTTTCTCACTCAGACGACGATGCAGCAAAACAGCTTTACAAGGTATTTTCCATTGTGCAATCAACGCAAATTATTTTCATTGCTAGGAATCAGTAATAAATTATTACAGGTATGCTATTAGCTCACGGGTCTCCTCATATTAGTGAATTTGAGCCTCTCATTGAGCCCACGCAGTAAATTCCATTCTGGAAGAAGTGTTAAAGTGGACGGAAAACGACCCTGTTCATACAACGATTCTGAAGATCGGCTAAGCTGCCTCTTCTACGTCGAATTGATTTACACCATCCACATTAACCTCTGGAGTTTGTACCCTGTATTGGTTGAGCCAAAAGCCTGTAATCAAATAACTTATAAGGGTATAGGAGGATGCTTACAACGAATAGGCCTATGAGTGAGGAAATATGCAAAGCGACATCAACTGCAATATTGACCTGTAGAAGACTATCTCAAGAATGTTACCTAGGAATCGAGGGAGTGAGGCACTATTTGCCTTTATCATCACGATCACTAGTATAATTTAGAGGTTTTTTATATCAAAAATTTTTGGTGATTCACAATTTCATAAGCGATGCTGTCCTCGTTGAACATGCGACTCCTCCACTGGAGTGTACTATGAAGAACATCAGCACGTCATCATAAATCTATGGTCTTCTCTAACTGAAGTAGTTATTGCTCTACACTTCTACACCAAACAAAGAATCGCCTCCTTTGTTCCCGATTTACTTTTCTCAGTATAGAGAAACATTGGGGAACTTCTACAGATGACATTGCAACGTCACCATGAAGTAGGAATTGTTTCCGTGTATGGCCGGCTTTTAGAGAGGTATCGATATTGACAACAACAATGAAGAGCACGATTAACAGTCCAAGTGCATCGTGAGTATGCGTCGTCAAAAATCACCGAAACATGCCTATCTCGAGAAAAGCTTAGGACCTTGTCTTGCAATCCTGGTGTTGCACGAGCCCTTTTCAGTTAGCGACTTAGATCCGTATTTGCAAGACTGGAAAGATTTCATCAAAGATCTTACCGCATTGTGAGCCGCAACATTGCTAGAGGTTGTGATGACGATCCATGACCGTGTCCTAAGGAATAGGAAAGGCTGTTTCACTTGAAAAATCACCAGTGCTGTCTCCGTTCATTCCTGTAACAGGAAAAATTCAAGAAGTAGATTATAATTTTCAAATCGAGCTGCTCGTTTTTTTTTTCGAACACAGCGGTGTAGTTACGCTTAGCTTTCGAGCTCTGCTAGAATAGTTATAGTGCTTTTCGTTGTATGTGAGCCCAACCTACTCCACATTTCTTCTTATGCCTCTCAACTGTAGGCTTTCAGTCATGTCGACGTGCATGGTACAACCAGTGTAGTAGCTCAGACACCGAAACACAAGTATATACAGGGCTCATGAAAGTCTCGCAGCAGTCCAACGCAGAAAATCGCGCAAGCTTATGTTCACTTTGGGTTTTTTCTCCTTTTCAATGCTTTTACCTTTGGATTAATGGTTCATTTGGATTAATAGATCAATGTCTATTTGAAAGAAATTCCCAAGAGGCTTGACGCAGTGCAGTAGGGTTACTTAGGCTCACCACTGAAACCGTTACCCAACGTTACGTTATTCCACGAATAAACAATGGAGTCATCTGAAATTTTTTAAATACGGAGCTGTTCATCGGAATTGCTCATTGCAGCCTACAATTTCTCACTGAACAGTCCTAAATCAAAGGTAAAGCGCCCAGCACTGATCAATACTTCAGTGATGTGCTACGCGTTCGAATGGCCTAGGGTAAGCTTTCCATGTACCACACTGTATTTTCCTGCATTATTAAGCTAATGCGAGACTGGTATCAACCTTTACTCGGCTAACGTCTCGACGTCTTATTCTTCTTCAGAGCCGGATTGATTAAGATCGACTGTCCACAATCGTTCGCTCTCGTGATATAGGATCTCCATTGTTGCGTCGAGTCAAAATCGTTGTTATGGAGCATCGCTCGAATAAAGTACCCTCACCCAGCGGTGCCATTTTATTCAAGACGGTATAACATTAGTGTTTTGTCCTCTCGTAGGTCTTATACTAATTTACCTACGCTGGAGAAATGAGAGCTTAGGACCATATTTGTACTGCGTCCACTTCTAACCACTAGGCTACATGAGCCCTAAAAATCGAGAATATGAAAAGATGGCGTATATTTTAGGTCGTTAATCTTTACTATAACTATACCGGAACGACAAAGTCATTATGTGCCAACCCGTCGTTTTGTCCGAGTGCTGAGGCATCCATCGGTGATCCCAGGGTATGGACATGGCGGGTGAATATTCTCGTCTTCTTTACAAACAAGTTCTTAATTTTCGTGTTGTGTGTTATAATTTGCTTCTGTACCTTCTTTGAGGGATTTTCTTTCAGTACTGCACCGAAATGCTTATGCCGCAATGCTCAAGTGGATGGCCAAATGATTTCTACTGGAAGACGTGTCCATTCAACGTTGAACGGGAAGTTGAGGAATGTAAAACTTGGTAAGTTTCCAAGAAATAGCTCAAGAAAGTATTAAAAATGTAGTTGAATTGAATTTTGTTGATCTTATTTAGTAGATATGCTCAACAAATTCGGTTTCATGTCTAATTTTCTAAAAGGGTGCGTGTGGCGCAGTGGTCGGGGCGCCCTGCAACGCATACGTGGAACCGACCCTCGCTCCCACGGCCCGCCAAGCCTTCCACCTCTCGGCAAATTGGCACCAGACTTGTCTAGGAAGAAAGCAGCACTGGCTCGATACATCGGTGGGACCACCGCTGGTTATTGTGAAGGGCAGATATTCAATCACGTCCAAACGATGCTTAATGAAATCGAATGCATGGCGCGTCCCTCAGTGATAGATCAACGCCGAGAGCTTTAGAACTTTTACCCCTTGTTTTGATAATAAACGAAGAGTTGAGTGCTTGAAGTTTTTAAGAAGACGCTTTGCTCTACGGCCGTGGTACGGAAGTTCCCCTCCTCAGTAGCTTAGCTGTTCGAAATACCAGTTTTCACAACAAAAAAGTGGAAGGACATGTTTTATGACTTCGAAAAAATCAAAACTTTATACTGTATGCAAATAAATGGTGTAGCTTATCAACAAGGACGTCTTGATGTAAAATTACTCGTTCCGGTCAATAAAATTTGCTACAAACTGATACGTAATAACTTAAATTTAAAATAAGGAGGCGGATAGCACAATGGTAGTGATGTTGGTCATCACGAGCACGGTACTAGTTCTATCCCGCGCGGGCCAACCAAGCCCCTCATCCTCCGTGGTCGGGTAATTGGTACCAAACTTGTTCGAGGAAAAATAACTCTCTGCAGAACAACTGGGAACGCTCCAACCCGGCTATCTCAGGACTACAGGGAAATTCGACTCGACCAGGATTCTTTCACATTCAGGGTGAAATGAAAATTCTCAAGCAGTAGCCGATGCCACGCGTAAAAGTTAGAAGATCTTCGTGGATGGTGGATGCGAGGAGAGGAATCGAATGTGAGAAGTGCTGGGATGCGCACCGCAGGCGTAATGACGGGTTATATAAGAAAGAAAGTTGAAATGCGCAACTATTTGCGGACGCACATGTATTGCATGTGGTGCATTCTGGCAATAATGTGGTAATCTTTTAGTTCTACTCCTTTAACCATAGATTTTGGTTAATTCTCTGCTGTACTTAGTGTTGAGACGAGCTCTATTGCTGCTTAAGGATCCGTTGCCTTTTATCGTCACTGAGACACCTAATACTTCAGTATCGTAATGTTAATTGGAATGACAAAGTAGCCGTATAGGAAGAGATTTCGTCTTTTCACCAAATGCGTTTGGTCATCCTGTTGATCAGAAGCTTGCCTGCTTACCCTACTGCTTGTCTAGAATTATTCTAGCGCGGCAGCGATGTGATTAATCAGACGACTGATGAAGAACAACATAAGGAGCGGCGTCCTATTTTTATTAATATATAAATATACCTCACGCCACATCAAGAAACTGCACAATCGAACTGAGTTGAACATGTTTAGTTTTCACCTAGTCGAAGTAGTCAACTGGACGCTCACTCATGATTTCGATGTTAAACAATGTGATTTGGACTACAATCTCAGCTTAACTAGGTTCAATGCCAATTTGTACTCCCTATATCAGCCCGTTGACGGGTTATTGCTGATGGCACTGTTACGGTAAAGAAATGGCTGGAAGAAAGGCAAAGCAGAGGCCTATTTAAGAGCCCTATGCCCTAAAAAAACTACAGAATAGTGAAAATACTCGATGTAGTCAGAAAATACCTAAGGATAGAATTTCGACAGTAATCAATTCCTTAGGGGTTGCGCCAGGCACTCAGCTCCATTTGCTGATCGTAAAGCTGATTGAATGCGTATTTTGTCTCAACAGTGAGCTCATAGAACTTATTTATGCATCACATGAATGTTTTTACCCTACCAAAGAAGTTCCGCCAAAATACCACGGGTATGGAGCGCGAGATCAGACCGATGACCACGTTTGCAATGCATGGCACCTTCAACTCCTGCACTATTCCATTGACATTGTTAATGGCAAAATCTAGGTGGTGCTCATATCTTTCTAATTTCACATTTACCTTTGAATTTTTAGAGACATTTTTTCAATGTGGAAATTGATTCCAGGTTCGACAAAATTGGTTTCGATCGCTCAATGTTCCGCCCTCGCTGGATAACTCAGAATTTTGGTTCCGAATTTCCATCAGCCAGCAACATCGTTTTCTCGTTGGTCTCAGTAGTATTGGTTTAAATCATCACCATTAGAATTCCAGATATAAAACGGAACTAGCGAGATCCACGACAGCGGTGCAGGTTGGGCAGTGGTTAATGGTGACGTCCATCAAGAAGCAAAAGCGACCACTACCTCCTCCAAAACCACGTTGAACCGTCTTAGACCGGTTATTTCCAAGACTGCAAGGAGAATTATAACTCGTATGAAGTGCTGAGATATTTGCAAAACTCCGGACCACAGGTGTATGCAGTGGAGAACGAACACGCGCTGCTGTCCTTACCGGGGAGCAGCGCACTTCACCACTACACCATCCGGGTCCTTCGCTTTGCATGTATCTCAGGTAGTTCTATCGATCTTTTTGCCATCAGCAATCCCGTTGACGGGTGAGTTTTGCAAATATCTCAGCATTTCATACGAGTTATAATTCGAAACATAACCTGCCATTAAGAAGAAAAAGGCAGTAAATAAAAGAGTTAAGACTGCAAGGAGAATTGACCTGACCAGCATTCTATGACATTCATAAAAAAAGGCGAAATCGTCAAGCCAGCTAAAACAACATAAATGTTCGAAGACCGTTTGGACCAATGCAAAGAAAACGAATCGACCAATTGCTAGGATCGGCACAATAAATCTCACGACGGGCCTTGTAAAAAAAGTAAAAAGAAGTGTCCCTAGTATAAATCACAATCACTTCTTACTGCTTATGCTTTCTTCATGCCAGGGTATGGCGTGAAATATAACCACAATGATGCTGAGATATTGGCAAAACTTCGGACAGCAGGTGTCTGCAGCAGGATCGAACCTCGCTATTACCTCTTCCGGTGTGCTCACACCCACACCATGCGTGTCCTTCGTTTCGGCTTTCCTTCAGCAGTTTATAGGCGCTACCAGCAATTACAAGTTAACAGGATTGATCTGGGAAGCACAAATCGGCATTAAACCCAGTTAACATAAAACTATAACATACATAATAATGTAATCACTTTTTATTTAATACCTATTCTTCTTTCAAGGCAGGTATGATGTGAATTGCAACTACAGTGATGCGTATAGTGCCTATAAAACACAGTTGAGACAAAGGCGAAACGAAGGACAATCATGGGGTGGTGGTGAACACGTCATCCCCTGTAGACGGTAATAACGAGGTTCGATCCTCACTGCAGACACCTGAGATCCGAAGCGTTGCCAATATCTCAGCATCACTATGGTTGTATCTCAGCATCGTTGTAATGTTGTTAGTGGTTAGCAGCGTTAATGGTTTCTTGAAAATCATCAACTTTGTATATTCATTTAACACATTCGTAACGAAGCTCGTTTTTGAGTAACTGACGTCCATTTCTCGATCACTACAGTATTTCAGGAGTTCAGAACTTTATAGATCTAAAGGAGAGTTATTGTTCCATCGCGTTTATCACATGTTTACTTCGTCAAGGTGTCCTTTCAAATTTAAACATTTTTAGCATTAAAAATTACAAAAAAGTAGCCGTAGAACTCAAATTTCCTAAAATTTTCAAGGTAAGCTCGACAGTAAATTGAACGACAAATCAAGTGAGGTTATCTTTTCCTGCTGGATGAAGTACCGCTTTCCCTTTTGTGCTCGAAAATGAGCTTCGAAGTAATGAAACCGAAGAAAATGTATGCCATGAGTTCCAGAAAGTTGGAATTTCATCGTGATAGAACAACAAAACTACTATCCTAATGGTAGAAAATTGAACACCTTAATAATTCCCAGGATCGACTTTCTCTTAACCTCGGCATTGGAATATGAATGTGTCGTTTTCTTGCTCAGCAATCGCGAGGTTTTTAAACAGCATACATTTACTTCCATAAAAACACAATACAATACAACGCTAGCTGACGTTTCGGCAGTATCGCCTTCTTCAGAGCCGCTTTTTCGTGACTTCCAATGAGGAAGTTTAGAACAGCTGATTATGATAATCAGCTGTTCTAAACTTCCTCATTGGAAGTCACGAAAAAGCGGCTCTGAAGAAGGCGATACTGCCGAAACGTCAGCTAGCGTTGTATTGTATTGTGTTTTTATGGAAGTAAATGTATGCTGTTTAAAAACCTCGCGATTGCTGAGCAAGAAAACGACACATTCACCTTAATAATTCTCATTGGAATTATTGCAATTCACTATGAACTGAAATAGACATGGTTGAAAGCGGCGATTGTATTCGTGCCATATGAAACCTATAGAGGTTATACAGTCGTCAATGTTTTAACGTAGGCTCAATAACTGCAGAGAACTCCTTTATATTTCCTAATTTTTTAATAGCATTCTATGTACTATGTAAATCATAAAAGATAATGCTTTCTTTCGGCTTGAATTAATCGCAGAGGGATTCGCCATCCACTAAACTTTACCAAGACTCATTCAATGCATAACCGGTCCATGCAGTGCTTTGCGATGATCTGCCGAAGTATCAGATCGCTATTCTTTATCCACCCAGAAAAATATGGTACCTGGTTGCTTGGAAGGACAGAAGCTTAGCGAGTCCAGAAAGCGAAAGCAAACTCATGATCTTGCTCTACTACAAAGCTGACTACTGATCACTAACCACTACCCTATAAGAGCCACTTATATTTTATATAGCAGGGAATATTACAAAGTGGTAAGTGAAGTGGAATTATTCGTATCAACATCGTAAAAATCAACTAAATAGCTCTCGTAATTTCACTTATTTCTCCAAAGGAACGGCTACCTCGATCCATGGTCTTGTGGTGGTTGGTCGCTTACGCCGAAAATTGAGGGATCACTGGTGTCGATAATATTGCAGAACGGGGCTCACCATTACGACCTTCGGGGCGCACACTCGAACGACACGGATGAGGTTATTTTGTTTTTTCTTTCCTCCGTTCTCCAATAATTTTCATATTTAGTTCAAAATTTAGTGCTTTTTGCAGAGATTTCTCATTTCTTCCATTATGCTTTCTTTGTAAGAAAAAATTCAGATGATAATCATGTCACTGCTATGATGACGGAAAATTGGTCACGGTCGTTGTCAACATTTAGAGAATGGCATTAAAAACAGACAACTACCGACTTCCAAATCAAACAAAGCAGTCAGAGAATGATTCAATTTAAGTGTTAGAGAAGAGTAGGTTAAAAACCATGGAAAAATCCTACAGTAATCTTATTGGTGAAGTCCTCAAACTCTCAACCGTCTTGTTCATCAGCTTCGTTCGACACTAGGAATTTCGCATTTAGATTCATTTTTTAGAGATTCATAAGCATAAATGGTTAAGTGTTAGGCGCTAATCAATCATTTAGGGATATACCGCTATGCATTAGAGTCTATTACGCATTGTAAAAATGACTGGATACACATTTGGCTTATGTGATGGCTTACGGGTTTCGCCGATGCACTAACCACTATAGGATGAAGAGGTTGATTTTATGGGTGTTCGAACCAAAGCTCTCTGTGTGCTGCATGACTCTTTTGGAGTAGTGCGCTGAATTTGGGTATTCGTGCTATAATAGATAATGCTCTAAAAGCTCATTAATAGCTTGTCAGGCTCCCTTAGCTCCGCGACTACCCAATGCGTGACGACAAGCCCTGATCGCACAAGGGTAATCTGTCTCTACAATATATAAAAAAAACTACTTTTAAACGTCACGAAAGAAGAAGCATTGTTCAAACGTAAAAGGAAACGAATTCATACTGGTCATTTTAGTAGCCTCATCTTCACAAGTTTGTTGTACTTACATTGGCTCTTTAAAAATTTTTGCATCGTAAATTCTTTCATAGCGCTTCTTTTTCATTCGTCCGAATGAACTATGCTTTTAACACTCTCACTGAGTTGTTGCAGGTGAAGATCGTTCGTCGTCAGGAAAAGAAATACATAACTGAGTGGATCCAGAAGTCAAAAGCAACAAGAAGTTGAACTATCTTCTCTGCAGTATTTTTGTTTGGAAAATGAACCGTTGACGTGATTCTCTGCTTAGTCCTACACCACCAGATAGAATCTCCTTCCGTTGATACTTTATGTCGATTCCACTCATTTTTTAACCTCCATAAAACGTCTGTTTAACCAACACTTTTTTCATAAATCCACCCCGAAACCTTACCGGGTATTTTGTTTTCCACGCAAATTCCCCATTGTGGGAGAGGGTGATGACAACGCCATCGTAATTTCACGGGCAGTACAAACGCTTTATTTAAAAACCGACATCGCAAAGATTGGGAGCAAAGAATGTCTAGGCAAGGACACTCGATGAATTCGCACTCGCTAAGGAATGAAACCACTTCGACACATCGCGTTAGCCACCCAAAGAAACTCTCTGAACCGATAAATAATAGATGTTGGATATGTGAATACTGGAACATTTACTTCTTACTACAGCACAGATTAGTTTATATTACAGTGGGTGGGATGTTGCCAAGCAAATTCTATCGAAGCAGGTAGCAGATCCAAAAAATATATTCGGTTTGGCCTCTCGTGCCTTTTTATTCCACTTCTGCACAAATTTTGTTCAGATTCCCAAGTCCGACTTTCTATTAAACTCGGGAATGTTTCAATAATTCATCGTTTTCTTGATAAGCAAATTCTAGGCTACCACTTCATTCTTTATTCACGAAAAAATTGATGTTTCAGCGGGTTTCACCTTCTTCAGAGGCCAAAAAGGTCAGGTTGACTGAAGTCTGGCTAGCCAAACACCTCCATCACTTCGAACAAGAAAATGACGAAACTTAGGCTCCAACCGCATCGGAAACAGAATGATTGCGTGAAATCAAGCGCAACAATGAGGTATTCCCACCTGCGCTTCATTTTTGGATTCCTGTAATATCTCGAGAATGATTCGAGAGTTTTGCACGGATGTGCTTTCGATTCCTATACGAGCATGGCAACTTCTACTTCAAAATCTTCTCCGTTATCTATCTATACCCTATGCCCCTAGTGAGCTATTTTACTTAACTTGCCGTACTGTCTAGGTGCTCTTTTATACGGACGCAGAGTGACCCATCCGTTTCGCCGATGAATTCGTCCCTACCCACTTTACAAGAGATCAGAAAAGCGGTACTCGAATTCGTGCAATCCGTGTCCCCACCGTTACGGCATATTATGCAATTTTCTTTGGTACATATACGGTCACACAAGCGGTTGCAAACTAGCTGGCGTCCTACAGTGCTCGGTGGTATTTCAAACACTGTTCCCAAATTCTCTGACCCGGCTCTTCTTAGCCAATGTTTTGTGGTTGCATTTACTTCGTTGGAAATTAATGGTAGAATAAATGGGAACTTATTCACGTTAGAATTATCATTTGGAGACGTGGTTTCCTTCTACGGCCATCCTGAGGAGTTGGAGCTTCATTGCCTTTGAAAGTGGCTACTTGCCCCGCCCATTTCAGAGATTCTTCTCTCTGCTCTCTTCTTACGCACAGCGGTGGCTGTTCGTAACATATGTCTCACAAGAGCCCTTTCCGTGTGTGACGGGTGGAGAGAGAAGCATTGAACCAGTGTATTCTTTCTAGTTGGCTTTCGGTATCACTTGGTGATGTAGCAGCCCTCAGATAAGTTAATTTGAACGTTCGGAAATGGAATCCAATTTTTTCGTGTAAACTTAACATACTCTAACGCTTCATTCAATCACTTATGGCGTTGGTGTAAGTGTCTAAGGCGTTTGCCTTACAAGACTGCAGTTAAATTCCCAGGTTCTGAAGAAGATAAAATTCGCCGTAACGTCAGCTTTTTTGTGAACAAGAAATAGATTGACAAACTCGTGTTTGTTCACTGAGAAAACAGCGAATTAATTTTGTAGAATTTAAAACGGTGTAATAGGAACGTAAAAAGAATAATCGAGAAATTTTTCTTTTTGTATAAGTCCAATCTCATACATAAAATCATAGAAAATTGCTCAAAGAATCGATTTTGCATTGTCCCTGTTAAAGCTCAGCGCAGCGTAACTCTTAAGAATCATGGGATGTTTAGGTTGAAAGCTCTTGTTCAACAATAGAGACGTGTTTGTAAATTCTTTCCTGACAAACTGATAAAAAAATATCTGACTGTAGACGGAACTCATTTGTAAAACTCCCTCATCGTAGTTTTACGCAATGGTTCTCCAGACAGAGTTTGCGACGAGCAACTGTTAATCTGTAAGTAGCTTAATACTAAATCATTATATAAAACGAAATCCACAATGATAGGAAAAGGACCTTTACAACAACATAATCTCCAGGTCCATAACCGTCTTTATTCTCGAATATCACCTTTGTACCAGATTCAGCTCGACCCTGTAGGGCCGTCATTGAGCGTTTTGAAGTCTGAAGTCAATACAGTTTTATTCCAAATAGAACTACTTACATATTATAAGCGGTAAAACTGACCCCTTCTACAAGTACTAGTTGTTCCGTTCCAATTAAAGAACTGTTGATAGTCAACGACTCCTTACGAAACACGTTTGCGAGTTCTTCGTGTCGTCTTCGCTTCACTTCATTAGGTACATCATCGCTTAGACGATAATGAGCACGGGTCTTCTAAAATCTCCAGCTTACCTAATAAGCTATCAAACCATTGAAATATAACTGAAATGATCAAAAGGAAACTGATTTCTTGGACAAATAAGGAACCATTTCATAAATCACAGCCAACCTCTCTCATACTGTAGGGGAAAACATAACAGAACGTATACTTCACATCGCTTATCAATTTAACAGTCTTGTGGTGTGCTTCCTCAGTTTCCCCACAGAATCCCGCAATGAAATCACTTGTAAGGCTTACACCTGTAAGTTCTTATTCTATCACCTATGACGAGGTAACGGCAAAGAAATTATAAATGTTTTAAATGGCAGAACTTATTTCCTCAAAACAATGCCGGAGTTATGATGGGATGATTAAGAAGTTTGTCTAGACGAATAAGACTAACACGTTCATGAAGATCACTGATTTCCAGATACTGCACTAAGATTTTGAATTAACATATCCATCACGGGGAAATTGACGTTCGCCGAAACTGATAATTATGCGATGTCTTAACGTTTTTAACTCAGAACAAACTTTTCAACCACGCCTACCTGGCAGTACTTTCCTAATATCGTTCACCAACTGAACGTAGACGTCTCTAGTGTAACCACGGCCCATTCTTTCCAAAGTACCATCATCGCCACTTTGAGCAGGTAAATGTAATTGATTGCATATATTAGCACGTTCTCTAATCAGTTGAATTACCTGAGATTAAAGACCACATAATGAGAAGTAACCAAAAGAAGAAATACTTACTTCAAGAGGAAAATCCTTTGGATGTGGAGATGTAAAGCGAATACGCATTTCCGGATCAATTTCAGAAACCTTCTCAAGTAATGTCAGGAATGTTCGTCCACCTGTCTTCGGCCTGACAACGACGAGAAATAATTCATGACCGGCAAAGTGTATGTACTATATACATATATATATATATATATGTATATATATGTATATATATATATATGAACCTTACTTATAGACAGTAGAAAATCCCGGTACAATTGTCGTCGACACAGCTCTGTCTGTGAAATAATTAGATTCTGACATATCGCGATAACTGTTCACATTTTGTCCAAGTAATGTTATTTGCTTCACGCCCTGAAACAAAAACGGGAAAATTCGTCATAGTTGTAAACGAAAAGAAATCCTAAAGCTATGTTGAACACAAATACAATGATTCTCAGATATCTGCAAAACACAGACCTAAGCCAGCTTCGAACCCGCGATTACCCTCTTAGGGGGCTCACGTACTAACTGATGCCTCAACACTGATGTCTTTGATTTGTCTTTCTCCTAGCCAATTCTTTGTCTACCCTAACGGTGCTAAGCTAAACATTACTCGTTACCAGAGGAACAAACTATACTCAATAGCAAGACAAGGTGTCAGTGTTAGGACCAAATAATTTAATACTTGCACGTCGAGTACCCAAGAGAACCGTACGGAACTAGCGCATTTTTCATACGTTTAGTTCACATTGTAACCCATGTTGTATAGTGAATGATGACGAGCAGAAGTAACACTTCACAACATCATTAGATCAATTCTGGTTGAAAAAAGGTAGTTACTATCAGCAATAAATCTCCTCTTGGCATTTCTGTCCATCTGTTGTTCCTTTTACATCACTTCTCCAGTCAACTATGCTTCTCTTTCGAAGTTTATCCGTTAAGAAATTTTTTGAAGGTTCAGAGTTCAAAACCTGCTTTGATGTTATGTGCCTCGTTTACACTTCAAAAGAAATTGTTCAAGGGCTCTTTAGATAGCAATAAAGTTTTATAAATGGAGTCAGGCGTGCGACGAACTCTAGGTCCGTCAGCAGATGCTTGACTTCGCTGAGGCTCCAACACTGTCAACGATGTTGCCTTACTTCCACAAAATCCCTACTTTATGCTGTTTGGCATATTGATCAAGCAATATAAGTGGATATAAGACGTGGTGCTTGCAATCGGTAAACTATTTCTTCCGACACATTCACCATGAAACAATAAGTTTCCATAGGTTGAGTTTTATTCCGACCCTTCTGCAGCCGTATCTTATCGCTTCGTTGAGATCATTAACCACCGTATTAGCTTCAACGATAATCCTCGAGATGACGACGATGTCGCCGAGAATTCGCAAGAAAAATTCATTGAATGCTGCCGTTTTGTCTCTATAAAACGACTTCATTAACAAACGCAGTGTGTCAACAAACAAGTTCACCAAGACGATGTAACTCAATCCGCTTTTTCAGTGTGAATCGAAAGGAATTTACGTTGAAGACAAAAAAAATAAGCAATTTCGTTTGTGCAACAAACGAAGTGACCAACAAGTAGATTTTCTGATAGCACCTATAGGTTAAAGCACGGCTAAGGGAAACATGAAACGAAGGATCCGCATGGTGTAACAGTGAACGCGTTAGCTTCCGGAAAGGTTCGAGTTCGATCCTTACCGCAGACACCTGTGATCTGGATATCTCAGCATCATTGTAGTAATGAGCAGACTGTTCCAGAAAAAGTGAGGGAGAGTACAATAGAGATTTGGAATAAAAAGTTGATTGTCACTTATGGTTATTTAGGTACCTCATCACTTAATCGACGAACTTCCTCAACAATGGAGTCAATCGGACGACTTCTTTCGCGTCCCCTAGTTAGAGGTACAACACAGTATGTGCACATGTTGTCGCATCCACGCATTATTGACCTAGAACAACGTGTATTGTGCTCAGTGATTATTTTCTTTAACGTTGAAAGTTTTTTATAAAAGCCCAAATGTACCAATAACCACCAAAGCAAGACTGATTCAGATGGTAACAAATGTGTATCAATGGGTGATTCCACAGCTTACTCATGGAAAAGGAGAAAGGATTGGAGAGACATTTTGAAAATTCATTCAACATCAGTTTGTCTAAGCAGTAGCCCTGTTCATTAATAAGTTCGCATAAAAGTCATGATAAAATTTTATTCTGCTTAAAGTTCCGATCCCACAGCCTTCTACAGAATCCTGAAAATTTGAGTCTAGTCTCCAATGGCAGTTGTTTTTTGAGATATCATTCTTCGTATTCGCATCGAATCAAACCGAATGTACATAACAGCAAGAATTAAAAGCCTCCTACCAATGGTTTATTTTATAAGGAACAGTTCTTGATCTGTTACACCAAATACTAACTGATCCCATGATGGGAACTTATTCTGTAGCAGTTGGAATGAGATTAACTGGAATAAAGCAGAGTTTAGGGGCGTGTGTGGCGCAGTGGTTGGAGGCGCACTGCGACACACACGTGGAATTGATTCCAGCGCCCATGGCTTACCAAGCCTTCCATTCATCTGGAGTCGGCAAATTGGTACCAGGCTTGTCTGGGAGGATGGTAGTAGCACTGGCTTGATACATCGGTAGGCCACCGGAAGCTATTGTAAAGGCCAGATATGCATTCATTCACTTCCAACGACACTTAATGAAGTCGAATGCATGAGGTAACCCTCAGGAATTGATCAAAGCCCAGAGTTTTTATCCTTTAAAGCAGAGTTTACCAAGAAACAAGGAGTGGAGAGCTAAGGGAAGTTTATAAAAGAAAATAAAATAGTGTAATACGTAAATATCAAACGATTAGCTAATCCTGCCATTTAGTCTTACAAAAAAAAGAATAAAAAAGGTCATAAAGTTATGTGTGTATAGACATATGTACACACATATATATACATATATATATACATGTATATATACATACGTATATATATATACAAGGTTGCTCAGTAATTGTTTCCCAACTGAAGGAAGGAAGGCGTTATTTTTCCAAAACTCAAGTATATCAAAGAGTTAAAGGATAAAGTTCTCGCCGTTGATCAGTCCCTGGGGGATGCGCCACGCATTCGACTTCACTGAGCATCGTGTGGAGGTGATTGAATGCATATCTGGCCTTTACAATGACTCGCGATGGCCTACCGATGTATCAATCCAGTGCTGCTATCTTCCCAGACAAGTCTGGTACCAATTTGCCGACTCTGGAGGGATGTACGCTTAGATGGACCGTGTGCAAGGACAGTGATCCCATGTGTATCACAAGGCGTCTCCGACCACTGCTCCATATGCGTCCCGTTCAAAGAGCATTTTGAATACCACAGTGTACAACATAATCGAAATAAGACCTAGATTTGAAAAAGGCAGAGTAATCTGAGTGTACATGAATCCTGACATCTGACATAAATGTGAACCTACACGAAAGCTGTTTTCGCGTTCTTGTCAACTCGGACTGGTTTAACATCAGCATACGTTTCTTCAACGGACAACTGAACGTTGATAGCGCTGCTACCAGCGCGAGCGACCGCTAGTAAACGTGGCAGATCTCGATATGCATCCGGACCTAAGAAATTGGAAGAGAAACTTAAACTTGTTACTTATTAATTTATTATACGGACTATTTGAGAGCTAATCAAAATCAATGACAATATGACGTGGATTAAAACACAACCAAATTAAAAGTAAGTGTACTCGACAACGCCTTGTAACAATCAGAACGACGCTGAAATATCCCCAAAGCTGGACCCTGGGCCAGATCGAACCACGATGACCCTTCCCGATGGCTCGCGCATTACACACAGCGCCACGGAGGCCCTTGCTCTGCGGTTCTCTCAGCTAGTTTTTTACGTAGCGCTGCCATCAGCAATAACCCGTGAGCAGGATTGATCTGGGGATTACAAATCGGCATTGAACCCAGTTAAGCTGATTGTGCAGTCGAAATCACAATGTTAACCTTTTATTTTCTGCCTACTACAACTTCTTACGGCACGGTATGATACAATAAAAAAATAAATAAAATAAAAAATTATAGTAGGCAGCTTTGTAACAATCTTACTACTAGTGTAAACGTATTCACGCATACATGAGTAGGTGTGCTTGTATTATGGCTTTTGTTTATAGCACAGTGGTTTCTTTAAAGTGTGCGATCAAGTATACAGCATAAGTAAAGCGATTTGGAGTTGCTCTAAAGTATATCCTACCTTCAATATGAGAGAACCCACTTGTCTATCATTGAGGTCACAGTGCACCCCACAGTCGAGCTGACATAATAGATGTGATAAATATTCCGTTAAAAACAAGAAAACAGATAAGTAATTTTCTTCGTATTTTTGTTGAGCAAACGCGAGGTGTTAACTGTGCTGAGGTATTTGCAAAACTACGAACGACAGGTGTCCGCGGTAGAGATAAAACACGCTTTTATCCTTTCCGGGTGCTAACATGTTCACCGCCACACTATACGAGTTAAACGTTGCGCCTTTCTCTTAACCCTGTTCTACAGGTGCTATCAGCAATCACCCGTCGACGAGATTGTATAATAACTACAGCGTTAGCTTAACTAGGTTCGGTGGCGATTTGTGTTCCCGGGGTCAACCCCGTATGGTGTGGTGATGAACGCGTTAGGCCCCCGAAAGGATAAAAGACCTCAGAATCATGTGGTGATGAACGCGTTAGGCCCCCGAAAGGATAAAAGACCTCAGAATCAAAGTGCAATGATCTTCATACCCTTAAAGCAAAGCGCGACAAAAGTTAATGGATACTTCACTAGCTCTTACTGAAGCGAACGAGTGATTACCGAGGTAGAAGATGGTACAGTTAAAAACAACACCTACAAACCTGCCACGACATCAACTAATCCACTCTTCGACAATAAATTATGCCGTACGCGTTCAGCCATGCATCCTAAAGAAGTGGGGAATGAAACACAATATTAAGCCCCAATAAATAAACAACGTAATATGAAGCCAGTTTAGAATATTGACTTCAAACACACCTAGTACACCAATAACTGGCATTTTCCTTGCCACGCTTCTTATTCGCTTTAGTTCACGCCAAACCTTCTCTTCAGCTCCTTCACGAATGGCGCATGTGTTTAAAAGTATAATATCAGCCTAAAAAGAAGTGCTTTGATGTTTCTTGAAGATCATACAAGACATACTTGAAACGAAACAGCTTGATCAATAATAGATAAAAATCTTCATAATGACTTGAAACCCACCGAATTGATATCGTCAGTTTCCAAATAGTCACTGTACATGAGTAACGAACGTACAACTTCCATATCATTAACATTCATTTGACACCCATAGGTTATATATTTCACTGAAATAAAAATGAATAAGTCTTGTATTCATTTCGAGCAAACATGCAGTGTTATTTTATTTCTCATTCACTAGCAAGCTGTTTCAGCGGATTTTGCCTTCCGCAGAGCCTGTAAAGGTGAAGTTGACCGCAACCTACTAAACAAACACTTCCATAACCAAATAGAGAAAATGCTAATAAAAATTCAGAAAGGTTTAGCACTTTCTCTATTAGGTTATGGAGGTGTTTGGCTGGGTAGATTGCGGTCAACTTGGCCTTTCCAGACTCCGAGGAACGCAAAATTAGCCGAAACATCAGCTTGCTAGTGAACAAAGAATAAACACCACCTCGTGTTTACTCCGAAAGAACAAGAATTGTTTGATCAATTCAGAAGTTAAAAGAAAGTGGGCTGCAAAAACAAATAGATAAAATGACATCAACAAACAATAACTGCGTGACTACCTTTCCGACCCTGACCAGATATGTCATCGGGATGAAGGTATGAACTTGATTCCTCCAGAGTTGGCGAAATAGTTGGAAGGCGAGCTCTTTGAGGCCGTTTGATGAAGTGGGTGATATCAAGTCCATCTTAAAAATAGTAACAATTGACATTAAACCAAGCAAAACAGAGAGTGAGGAAAATAGGAAGCTAAATAAAACCACTTTTGATAAAAATATGAAACACATGGAACTTAAGAAATCCCATATACAAGAAAATACAGCGCATAGATTTGAAGGACAAATGTGAAATTTGTAATTCAATTCCACAATCCTTCGTAGCGTTTATCTTTCAGAACACGCTGGCACCCTTCATTACCTACAAGACATTGTTACTTGGTCCGAATCCACTTTAAGGCTGTGTAACCTCACCTTGAATGTGTAAACGAAGTAGGGTTAAGTGATTGCCGAATATAGATTTTCATTAGGATATTTCCCTAACTGATACTCCATACTTGTTCACATATTTGTATCGGACAATATGATCGTTTTCCCACAAGTCCCGAGCTCATGTTGTAAATATCGTCTAAGATCTCGTATGGATCTCCACGGCTTCTAACGAAAGGATAATAAAGTTGTTCATTAACGTTCATGAAGGAAGTCATCTTATCGTGAGCTATAACTCCAAAATGGTTGGAAAGATTTCGTAATCAGTCGATGGAATCTTAGATACTTGTATAGCCCATTATAACTGGTTGTGCGGGTCCCATTACAATTTCCATTTTTTGGAGTTCTCATGGTTTAGCTATTGTGGTTCCCCAGAGTCTCTAGGTCAATCTACCCAAAGTCTACCCTAGATCGCCACCACCAACAGGCGGTCGTTGTCCTTGAGGAGCAGAGGGGGATGGAATCAACGTCAACGAATCACAAGCCAATCCGGGTCGAAAGACTACACTAGTAACTCCCTCTCGCTTTGGAAATTTTACCTAAGTTAGAATTAAACTACCACAAAGTGTTTCTCTCCGAGTAATCGTAGTTTTGCATCCTAGTAACGTTGGAGATGTAATATGCTTTCACTTCTGTACATTTGATAATGCATAATAACTTATAATGGTAAGAAAACCAGTGAAAAGCTAACCTTTTGGAAGAGTTCGTTGCCTTTCGCTCTTGATAGTTGCGGCCGCTGATTGGTAACCATACCACCGGCAATTCTCGAGCACTGTGGACTTTAGTATCGGAATAAGTCTCCGGTTCATCTGAAATTCAGAATAAAACATTGTGGCTATGTAAGTAATTCATAAAAAGTTATATGAGCAATGAACGAAAAGACTGTAACAAACTCAGCGTGTGTGGCGCAGTGGTCGGAGGCGCCCCGCAACACACATGGGATCAATTCCCGCGCCCTTGGCCCACCAAGCCTTCCATCCCTCTGGAGTCGGCAAATTGGTATCAGACCTCTCTAGGAGGACAACAGCACTGGCTCGATACATCTGTAGACCACAGCGATCCATTACATAGGCCAGATATACATTCAACCACCTCTAACGATGGTCAATGAAGTCGAATGCATAGCGCATCCCTCAGGGGTTGATCAACGCAGAGAGCTCTATCCTTTATTTGTTATTCCAAATTTACTCTTTCTCTGAGAAGCTTATACGATGTTGACAAGTGGTCTTTATTTTCGGGTGACGTTCCAACGTCATCGTCTTCATCACCTTCGACCGAGGAATGTAGTGGTCTCTGCTACTACAATTTTTTTTTTGATGAACAGCTTTTTTTACAATAAAGTGTTCAAAATAAAGAAAGACCATAGGATCTGATGAAGACTAAGACGTCGAAACGTTAGCCGAAAATAATGATCATTTACCAGCCTCGTGTAAGATTATCAAAGAAAGAGTCCATTTTCATCAGTCACTACGGACTACACGATGCTAAAGCACATGGGAACTTTGAGAAGAACAAAACATGAACTCTTTTACCTTCGAAAACAAAAAACCACTATAGAGTTGCGGGTCAAAGGTTTGCAACTACGTTAGTCAGAAGACTCTAAAAAGCGCTTGGAGAGAAAATCTGTAGCCCAGTTTCAAAATAAAAACTCGACAAATAACCCGTTACTATCCTGCTTGCCGAAAAAGAAAGAATTAGAGTATCTCATTGACAGCGTGATGATCATAGACCCCCTTAAGCCGGTAGGACATAGCCATTGGCCAGAAATGGGTCCTGACAGGAACAGAGACTGTACGCATGACTTCCTGAGATAACAACCAAGAAATCACTGGTTATATGCCTTAGGGTTGTCAACAGAAATGCTACTACGAAATAAAATCCTTATGGTGACCATGACCTCTCAACGGTTTACCGCTTCATCGTGGCTGGGAAGTGTTCCTGGGTGTCGGACTGCGATGTAGAGCGGGGCATTCATCCCCTGGCAGGGTCTCCCAAGCTGAGAAGGAGTCCGACGTTTCAATCAGGAAACCTAGCTAAGAGTAAACCAATACCAGGATCCACCACCGTCTTGGTATCAAAGTCGCATGGTGGCAAATCTTTCTCTGATCCACAAGGGCTGCGACTGTCTGTCGTGGTGGCAACCTGAGGCAGACTTTGGCCAGGCTGCCCTCGGGATTCCAGGGAACCACAATGGCTTAACTCGCAAATCTCTGAAGAATGGTGTTTATGCTGGGGCCCGCACAACTAGTGAGGACGGCCCGTTCAAGTGTCAAGTATGGTAACCATTTAAGATCACGCCAAATTCTTGGCCGGAGATTGAAAAATTCGTCCAAAAACAGTCCCTTGTTATAAGTATTGGAAAACAGATTTTCTAGGACGACATTTGGCACGAAAATGATGGGTAGGAATGGCAAAAAGAGGCCGGAAAGTACTTGCATTGAAATAAATTCGTATGTCGCTAAAGTGTTGAGGCATAGTGAAAGCAATGCAGAACACTTTTAGGTGTAATTATTAAACTTCTTGAACGAAGACAACTCATAATTGCTATGATTTCAGCATTGGTCGAGACCTTTATTCAGTATGCTAATCGATAAAACGCTCGTTTAGTAACTTGGGGCACCTCGGTTCGTTGTCTTCGCATATCACGGCTGCTCACTGGGGTCAGGTGGTTCAGCGGACATGAGCAGCATTACATCATTGTCATGGTAACCTTTTTCGCTATTTTCTGACAGAAGATAGCTACCGAAAGCTCGTTAGGCCTTCCCGTTTTATAGTTGTACTTTCACAGCTTGGACTTCGAAACGTGGAAAACTGAAGGACTTAGCGGAAAACTTTAGCTTGCTGATTCCAGTGAGGATGAAGCCACTGCTGCACATGATATCCGGATACTCAGGAGCACAAAACACGAGTTTCATTTAATCTAAGCATGTCTAATCAACACTTAGTTTTTTTTTTGCTAACACCAGATTGATGAAGATCACCAGGATCCACATCGCAAGAGGGATAACGGTGCACAGTGGACTCGTATCAAATCGGCTTTGAAGAAGGCAAAAGCGACAAGATGTTAGCCAAAGTTTTTTTAGATCAACCTTGTATTAGCTCACCAATGAAAGGATACATATCCAGTAAGTGTTTTTACCGTTCCAGAGATGTTCAATATTAGTTTGTCTACCGGGAAGAAGCGGAAGGCTTGGCTGAACCTGAGCACGGGAGTGACTCGCAGCGCTATAGGCACCCCATTTAGGGGATATCAATACCTGACCCTGACCAAGCGTGTAGGAAACGGTAATCTGCAGCAAATATGAGTGAATGCCATAGAACAGAAGTAGAATATCTTCATGTGCAGTACGGACTAAGCCTCGCTTCTTTCGACGAAAAGAAAATCGTGATCGTGAATGAGTGACAAAATAAGCACCACACAAAGTGCTGATGACTCGTATTCTGCTAGTAATCCAAACACCACCCCAACCGGAAAAACGAATGCCTCACTAGCACAGGTGACCTGGCGTCTTTTCTGAGACTACTTTTCAGATCTGGACGGGTTTCGATCCTTATCCCATGTGAACAACGCACGAGTGGTCTGTTAGACAACAAAAAGGTGAATAGTTTCTTTAATAAAGTGGCGTCCATCCATATAGTAGATCTTCATCAGCGCTACAGACAATTTACCGAGTTATACGGATAGCACAATGTTAACTTTTTATTTGCTGCCTACAACGATTTTCACGGCAATACAGCCATAATGATGCTGAGGTATACGAGAACTCCAGAGCGCAGATGTCTGCGGTGGGGATCGAACGCGCTGTTACCCTTTCCACTGGCTAACGTGCACACCACTAGCTGAAGGAAGGCGAAACGAAGTTGAACACATTAGACCTCGGAAAGGGTAATACCGTCTTCACTCCTCACCGAAGACACCTACGGGCCGGGGTTTTGCAAATATCTCAGGATCATTATGGTTGTCATCCTGCAGAGAATGGTGTCTATTTTGTTATAAATCTTTGATATAAAGTAAACACCTTTTCTCAACATCATTTACCATTGTTACGTAAGCATTTGCATCTCAAACTACGTGACCCAACTTTGAGAATGTGCTCTGTGACAACGTCAAAAAGTCCCCAATGGGAAATTCAAACAGTCGAGCGTTCTACTACTAGTGCTTATTCTGTGCCGAGGAGTAACTCGAAGAGCTATATTCCACTACGCAACCAGTAAATTTGATGGATTGGCATAGCCGATTCGAACTCACTGGAGCGACCAAAACAATACGTCCAAGCTCTGAAGAAGGCGAAGTCACCGAAACGTTACCCATCGAAACCTAACAACAACAACAATAACTGACGTCAAACTCGCACCAGCCCAATAAGTGCAGCCATCATGAGTCACATGTCTTCACATCGTCGAATAATGGTCGTTCAAGTTGCCGCCATTGGATCACTGGGCAGATAGGATGTGTCGGAGAGTGTCGGGAGAGTCTGTGGATATGGAGGAGTGTCCGGTCCGTGAGTCAGAGCGCTCGACCGCGTGCGTCCGACATCGATCGGCGCCACGAACTGCGGGCGTATTCGTGGCCCTTGTTCTGTCCTGTGCGTGACGTTCCTTGTTGTCTGAAGTGTCTGTTTAAAACTTGTCGATAAGTAGTAAAGTATTAGTGAGATATGACGTGCTCTAGGACATAGTTCTTGTCAGAGGATTAGATGCCTCTAAATTCGAGAGCAAACCCCGTCAAGGTTCTTCGTTCTTGCAGGGAAAACGCTACAGTTTCTTAAGTGTCCAGTAAAATCTGAGGTTTCATGAGACAATGCATAGTTGATAGATTTAGATGCTGCGAATGCGTTTGTCAAACCATCAGGCAAACTTGATTAGATTTCCCCCTCCTGCGTCTCCTCGTCCTCTTCCTTTTTCATCATCAGCGTCTTCTTCTCCTTCTTCTTCTTCTTCTTCTTCTCCCTCTCCTCCTCCTGCTCCTCTTAGTTTAGGTAATTCTTAGGACCTACAATCTGTCCTATCCTATGTCGTACTAGGTTGTCTTATGTTCATACTCAAAACTCGAAATGGGAAATGTCGATGTTCTTAATGGCGCTGTACACAGCATCTTTGCTATTAACACTTGAAGTTGTAAGTGCTAAGAATTCGTTTTCCATTTAGTGATTGTATATCTCTTATTGTAAGAATATATGGCTCTGAGTTCATAGAGAGGCGTGTATACCTGGTGTTTTCGATGAGTATGTGAGAATCTCAAACAAGCTTCATTCAGAATCTGGTTATGTCACGTCACAATAGCGATCGGAAGCCGGCACGTGAAGAACGACGAAGCGACGATCGACGCAGAAGCGGACGAGATGATGATGATGGGTACGAACGTTTTGAGATGTATTATTTTTGTTAGAGTATTGAAGCCATTAGAAAATAGCCGTTCTGTGAATAGTGACCTCAGCAAAATGATGGAGAATTCTTCACCATCATGTTCATCAATACGACTTTACATCGTTCGAACCTTTTTTCTTTCTAGAGGTTACGTTGTAGGTGGGATTTTTATGAGTTCTGCATTAATTGGACCAGTGCTTGTGACAACAATCTATTCAAGATGGTCTTGGAAGCATTGTTTCATGGATCCTCTATCGAGAGTGCTTTTAAGAAGGATTTGAACTTTCAGTTCAGCTGGCAGTAGCACATTTTCTTTCGTTACAGCTTTTCATTTTTCTAATCAAACTTCTTCTCCACTACATCTCTCTGACTGGTTCAGAGAACTATGACAATAGATAAGTTTAAGGTGTTGTAAACTGTTGAAAATGTTCTATTCTACTGTGAAAACATCTTTCACGATCTCTTATCGATGTAAGTTTTCTGAACATGCTGTGGAAACTAAACTTTAGGGACTTGTTTAAAGGATTCAACGCACATAAAGAACAACTGCATCAATTATAGAGGTTCATGAGGTCGCACTTGCAAACTTAGCCTATATCAATGGACGAAGCTACCGGTTAATAGGTTCCAAAAGAGTCGGTTTACTGTTCGTACTGACTGCTTATCTCTAATCGAGTTCTGTATTCATTTTAGAATTCAGTGTGGTAAAGTTCATGTGGACGGATAACTGAAGAATACGGTCAATGTAGGCTGTCATAAATATTAATTCATTCTAAAAAGTAGTAGTTTCACCTACTGATGGGTTTTACACGTGTTTGTTTTTCTGCTGGGTAGTTTAATATCTCTACACGTGTTCCTCCGTCTTCGTCGTCGTCATCTTTTATGATATCTAGACGTCTTGACAGAGGACATCTATGGGATACTATAAAGGTGACAAAAACTGATTAGTTAATTGACTACTAGTTAATTGATTAATTAATTAAGAATCAATATTCTTGCCTAGGTCTCAGGTTCCGAAGAATGGATTATCGCCATTACCGTTTTGCTGAATGATGGACTAAAGCTATTCTTTGTCATAGTTCCCCATCTTAAAATGCCGTAGCTATTTGTTGATAGTACAGTCTTAAAAAGGATTAAACAGAAATATTTATAACAGTGTACATGATAAATGCGAGGAGTATTCTGTTTTATTTAAACACTCACAAATATACAACACTTCTCCCATTTCTGCCTCTTCGGAAACTAAGCCTTCATGCCTGATAGAATTACGGGTTGATCGGGAATGGTCATGCGAAGGATATAAAACTGTCTTATCTAGAAAATCTTTCACGTGAAAGAGAACGAGCAAACTGCTGCACATCGATGAATGCAAGTGTTGGCGAAGACATTGTTTTTTATCCTACAGATATTATATGTGGTCTGTCCTCATGTGCGATATTCGCATGGGTTTAGATGTGGATATTGTTTTAGAGTCAACGAATCGATGTCTGATGAATTCCGTGCATTCATTTGTTTGTTTGTGTTTGTGCAGGTGGATCATGTGAGTCATACCAGTGACTAAGTTGTATCGCTGAAATATAAGGTTTAATTTCTTAGTGGTTACTTGAAGTTGTTTGGTAAATTTTCATCATTTACGGTAATGAAGATGGACATCGTGTTGTCCACTAGTTGTGAGTCTGTTTTATCTATGTATGTGCATAATCGAAGTGTCTATAAGTGAAAGAAATTATCCAAAGAATAGAAAATGCCCAGGAGTATTGTTAGAAAAGCATTTGACTCTACCCTTTCAAGTGAATGTTCAGTGTTATTTTCCCATTTCTGAAGGTGTCATGTTACGACTTTGGAGAAAATGATTGGTTTTTGGTGAGTAACAATGGGCATATATAGCTACAGTTTACCTTAAGACGGAGTTTGTTTATTAAATTTCATCACTGTTTTGTTTTATTGGTTCCAGTAACTCGATATCGTCAGTGTTTATAGTGTCGTGCGATTAGGATAGGTTGATTTCAGCAGCCGTACGCGCCGTGATACACATCATGGCAATCGCTCAAGCAACGGTGGAAGTTCGGACATGTTTCGTGGCATGTCGGGAATGGGCGGTGGTCCCCAGCGTGGTATGGGCAGTTTCTCGGGCATGGCGTTCACTGAAGCCGAACTCATGGGCGATCTGCCCAAAAAGAAGTTCACTGGAAGATGTAGACTTTTTGTTGGAAATCTTCCTAACGAAGTGAAAGAAGCTGAGCTCAAGGATCTGTTCGCACCACACGGTGACATCGCAGAATGCTACCTCAGCGGAAAAGGATTCGCTTTCCTTAGAATGGTGAATGCGCGATGATAACTTCTTTTAGTAGTTATTTTATTGCGCACAGTGCCTGGGCAGCAAAAGTCTTTTCGTACGTTTTTTACTTTGTTGAACCTACAGTCCCGCTTATCTGTACCCGCTATCTAGACGTATTGGATGAATACCAAGCATATTTGATGTGGACTTTAAGATATTGTCACACATTTTTACTCCTGGACTTCCTTATACGTAACACAAGCGAATTACACTGGACTTTTTTACAACCTCAATTTCTTGGTTTATTCCACCCACAAGGCAGAGTAGTTGGACTAATTGGACCATTCACAATCTATAAAACTGTGAACGAAGACTGCTAGATCTGCATGGACTGATTTGTTTTTGTACAGTATTACACTTTCTTTATGGAGGCATCTTCTGGACATTACCCGATGAACTATGCCGCTGTTCTACTCGTGTAGACTGTTTGCCCAGTGCACTGTGCGCGCATTGTTTTCATTTTCATGTTTTATTTTTTATGCTTCTTATGATTTAATGTTTACCTAAGAAGAGATTTCGTAGGACACTCGTGCTCATGCCGAAAGCGCAAAGGAGGCGATCGACGGTCGTGTTATTCACGGACGTCAGGTTCGCGTTCGCTTTGCTGTGCACGGCGCAGCTCTAAGAGTGAAGGAGCTCTCACCGACAGTATCTAATGAGATGCTCTATCATGCATTCTGTCATTTTGGCGAAGTTGAACGCGCCGTGCACATAGTTGATGAGAAGGGTCGTCCGACCGGCGAAGGAATTGTCGAGTTTGAACGCAAGCCATCATGCAACGAGGCCATCTCGGCAATTAAGGAAAAGGTCTTCTTGTTGACTGCGTAAGTTTATATGGCTGACTTTCACCGAATCAGAAAATATGCTGACATGTTAGGATGAAAATCTACATCATAGTTGACTAAAGCAATGACATCGAAAATTGGTGGTTGGATGACTTTGTAGTTTTTGATGTGACATTATGTGTTTTAATAGTTACTGTGTCCGACTGCAATGCAGAGTAGGCCTTGAGGACTGCGGAAAACGGTGATTCGTAAAACGTTTATATTGTGTATGTGTACAAGTAGACAGGAGCTGAGTAAACAGTACTATTTACTGCTTGGGTGTAACTTTTTGCTTTTCCAGGTAAATTGCGGCTTAGAGATGATAAATTATTTGGAATCTCTGCAATCTCAGATACTGAATTAGGTATGGTATCACATAGACCGGCGTAGTTGAATGTAGTCCTCCCAACGTTTTACCGCCCTATCGTGACTGGAAGGTGTTCCTAAGTGTTGGGCTGCGATGTACAGCACGGGTATTCATCCTCCTAGGAGGATCTCGAAAGCTGGAAAGCAGTCCGATGTTTCCATCAGGTAGCCCAGCTAGGAGTAAAGCAATACGAGGATCTATCACCATCCTGATAACAAACTAGTCGCATGGTGGCAAATTTCCGCCTGATCCACAAGGACGGCGACTGTCTCCGGTGGTGAGGACCTGGGGCAAATTTTGGCTAGGCTGACTTAAGGACTTTACGGAACCACAATGGCTAAGCCAGCAGAACTCCGAAAAATGGGAATTATACCAGGCTCGCGCAACCGCTGAAGACGCACTATCCAAGTATCAATGTAAATGAAATGTAGTAACTGTGCGACAACATTGTTAGAATGGCATGCACGTGCGGTTCTTCATTGCAATACTTGGATTTCTTAGGCTTTTCCTCAAATTCTCACATACTAATACTCTAAGATATAAGGATCTTCTAGCATTTATACTTGGTCATCCAACCACCATTTGCATCTTTTGAGTTATGAGATGGACATTAGTCAAAAGGAAACCGTTGCCACTTCATATGGTCTCACTCTAATTGTTGTAATTGTTTAATCCTTTGGAAAACTATAGCATCTTCGTATTAGGAGTCCTAAGCCTCTTATCGTCGAAGTTCTCGAGCCGAGAGATGAGGACGATGGACTTGCAGAAAGAATGATTCCTAGAACTGCCCAGCTTATTAAGTAAGTTTCAGATCCGTCGTTGGCTTGGTGCCATCTCAAGAAAAGTCTAGTTACTCAAAAAAAAAACAGGGTCCATATTTCTACATGATAGTGTCGTTCAATCAGTATCAAACAAGTGGGCTGTAGTCATTCCAACTGACGCGCTGTTTGTTTGGTTCCTCTGATGTAATATTGTAAGGTTTCAAATGTGGAAAGATAATGAAGTCTCGTAATTTGTACTATTTTATCTGTGCTGTAGTGCAGATATATTGGTTACAGAACTTGAACTTAGAGTTGAGGCATATTTTTATCACGACAGAGTGGAGGGAGATTGATGTTAAAAGGACTCTATCAAAAGCTGACTTTATGTGTAATGGGCGGTGTCTTTGCTGCCTTCTATTTATAGAAAATGTATTCGTGGTAAACCGATACATTGAATTGAATTGAACACATTGAGCATTGAATTAGATGGAGGGCCACATTTTCAAAATCAAATATGTTAGAGAAAATTCCGGATGCTAATTGAACGACAGTGTTCTGGAAGCTGAACAGAAGCACGTTTGATAGCAGTGAGATTTGAATTTTTAAGTGTTTAACTAGTTTTGTATTTCAATCGAATCGGATCCTCACCTGCACAATTGTACCTGAATATGAGTAATGGACTACTTGAGAATTTGTGGTTTGAGTTGTGCAGGTGTTAGGTAGAATGGACAAATAAAGGAGTAATCCAGGGAACGTGAACTCGGTCCTCGTTTCCCTGCACAAAACAGTTTCGAATTTGTATATGGTATGAAGTGGAAGGAGCTGTATGAAATGGAGAGACAGCGTAGAAATCAGTTGGAAGAGGAACTGAGGGATGCACGTCGTCGTCTCGAAGCTGACATGGAATTAGCTTACCAAGACTATCAAGCTCAGATGCTCCGTGAGGGTCAGTTAGTTTCATTTTATTTTTTTGAAAAGAAATCTTACGATTTCTCGAATATAAATGGCGTGCATTTTTACCTTCTCGTTGGGAGACCAAACTTCTTCATCAGCCTTATTGTTTCCCGTAGTTAAATTCCACTACTTTTGTGATTTTTTATAGCTTGTACACATGATGTACTTCTTCCTTCTGGAGCTCTGTAGAGCTGACCAACCTTATGTAAAGATGGTTCCGAAGTAACGACATATAAGATCTCGTGATTTCTGTGGTGTGGTAATTTCAGTTAAAGCTGAAGTTGTTAAATTGTTTAATTCGTTCTTTAAGTTACTTTTTTATACCTGAACATTCCATTGGTAATATGGCAACACTTGTTTATTCGATGCTACAGTAGGCAACAACTATGCGCAAGAACATTCTCACATCAGCCTGTTGACGCTTGATACTCACTCTCAAATTTCTTTTAAACGCGTTATTCTTTTATTTCTGTACTCGGTACTTCATGTACAACTTTTTCGTTTTTTTCTGCATCACTTCTTACAGAGATGGACGGTATCTCATAAAATTGTCACTTTTGCTTCAAGGTCGTGTTTCTAGTAAAGATGTTTATCCGGTTTTTTTGTTCAGATTTACAACGTCGTCAACAGGAACTTGAACGACTTGAAGCCGCTCGTCGCGAACGTCTCGGCATGAGGGCTGCTGCAGGCGGCCCTGGTGCTCCACCTGGTCATGGTGGGCCAGGAGGTCCAACTATGATAGCGGGACATGGTGGTCCAATGCAGCCATTTGGCCAACCAGGCAAGTTTTTAGCCTATTAGTCGCTGTTCAAATTGCATTTAATTTATCAACTGAATAACATGGTTTCCAGGACCATTTGGCCAGCCAATGCAAGGCGGTCCGATGGGCGGAAATCAGATAGGTGCTCCAATGGGAGGTCCTCCAATGGGTGGGCCCATGGGTGGTCCCTATCAGCCGTTTCAACAGCCGCCTCCCAATCAGATGCAGCAAGGTGGACCAGGAGGTCCAATGGGAGGTCCTGGTGGGCCTGGAGGTCCAGGAGGACCCGGAGGACGTATGTTCAAGTTGTCAAAAGTCCCTTTTGGTAGTTCACATTTCTTGTTTCAGCACAGGGAAATCAACGCCCTGCACAGACAAACAACATGTTGGAAGGAGTTCAGCGCCTTCTTCAGATCTTTAAGAATGAGCCATCAGGACAACAACGTAAGCGTCTGAGTTTCGAGCATTTCTACAAGTATAATTAAGCCCATAAACGACCAAAAACGCCTTTTTACCTGTACATGTGTATGCAGGACCGGCGTCGGGCGGAGGGGCGGCCCCGTTTGGAAGTCCTGGTGGACCTGGACAAATGACAAGTTTTGTCGGTGGTCACGGAGACTATCCGCCAGAGAAGAGGATGCGTCGTTGAGTGTTTCCGAATTACTCTGTTTTATTTCCACCTTTGACTCTGTTAACCCTTTTCATTGGTGTTTCGTAAACTTTGTCTTGCTGATGTTTTTTTTTGTTTTTCACTCGCGGCGTCTATATTTGTAATTGGTTGTATTTTGCTATCCATATCGTAAAAACTTACTACGTTTTTAAGACTACCGTGGAAGTAAATAATGTGTAGAAGTGGTGTCTATTTCGCTTACTTTGGTGTAACTTTTATACGATTCTCTCGGAGATTCTGTCACCCATAAATTGATGTGCGACAGCACTGTTTGCAGGCCGAGATAAATTAGGTAGTACCGTGTGGAGATATGCAGCGCATAGATTAAAGATGGTGCTGAAGGGAAAAGCGTAGGATTTCCTTCACTAGGCGTTTGGGTATTCTCATATGGACCACTTGGTTGCTATGACAATGATGTAGCACTTACCATCAACTTGATTGTAAGTTCGCTCTACGACTTTCCAGCAAGTGGAACTGCGTCACGCATGAAAACATGTTACTGAATAACTAACAACAATAGAACTATCAGTGTTCACCAGAAATCAAGATGGGTAAGATATTTTCACAAAGTTATTCCTCTGAAGTGTTTTTAAAAGGCAGGTGATTTCCACATCTTTCGAATTCTTTTGGGTACTAAAGTCGACCCTCAATAACACGGTAGGGAAGTCGCTACCATAATCAAGTTTTTATAGAACAAAAATATTCCCAAAGATAGGCATCAATAACATTTTCAATTGGTTATCATCCAGACTTGAACAGAAGAATAGCCACCTGGCCCAAATAGAAGTAAATGAAGTGCTTCGTTTCGTGAGTCACATACCTGAAAGATATGCAAATTTCAGTCACTCCATCTCTAAACACATTAGGTTCCGGAAGCTGTTACATCAAATAACGCATCAACTTACGATCCGAAGTTCCTCCCAACAATACAGTGCCATGTGGGATTATACTTCTTGTCAAATTCTTTCTTGATGTACGCAGCAATATCTTTTTCAATATTGTACCTAGAGTGAGGATAATACTGAGCATTTTAATTCGATTCATCGTTTGGTAGGATCATTAAAATAACATCGCAAACATTCTTATCGTCTGTCACATAAGATATATAAAATCTAATTTTGTAAAACCTTCCACTAATGAGCTAGCAATCGGAAATTCCGATATTATCAGTATCACCACGAAAGATCAACTATACCTTCAAGTTAACTGTAACGATATACGTGGGGAAATTTCCCGCTTCAGTATTTGATGGCAGTGTTTTGCTTTCCTTCAATCAAGTGTGGGAAGTATGCACTAGAATTAACGCGTAGGGATAAAAAGGACAGCTCTCTGCGTTGATCAACCGCTGAGAGATACGTCATGCATTAGACTTCATCAAGGTCGTTAGAGGTGATTGAGTGGATTATCTGGGTAATACAAAGATGATTAGAGGTGGCCCATGATGTATTGGGCCAATGCTGCTATCCTCACAGAGAAAACTGGTACCAATTTGTCGACCTCGAAAGTATACATCATGCACGACATGGAAAGTTTAGTGAGCCTGGGATACGAGATCGATCCTATGTACTACATGACGTTTTATGAGGAAAGATAGCTTTAACATTTAGACACCAGAATTGAAATCCGATTTCTTCAGAAGATCGCATCTCAAGAATAATCAATCCGTAGGTAATCTGTTATTCTCGGCAAGAATTCCAAAACATACAAACATAATATGAAGGAGCAACGTTTTCCATACAGTAAAATCAGTAATGGATCTCATATGAACAGCATGAAATGATCAATTATTCTTATTTTTCGCGGCATTTGCAAACTCGCATGTGCTCTTCTTGTACTTCTGACCTTACTTCCATCGATAATGATCGGCTATTTAATTCACTGCGAACATGCGACATCGATCGCTCTAACGTTAATCCGATAAATCATTCTGCTGGGGCAATAACTTCAGTGAGATGCCAAAAACGCGCTTTCCATTACGTCCATTATATCACATCGTGCAAATCCTCCTACCCCTCCGTTGTCGCCGAATTGGTAAGAGTTCACTGGAAAGAAAAAACGCTAAACTGATACATCCGTAGGCCACAGCAAGTCATTGTATTGGACCAAATATGCGTTTGAGCCTCTCTACGACACTTAACGAAGTTCAACACATTGAGCATTCCGTAAGGATTGGTCGACATCGAGCGCTTTTTCCCTTTAATGTTAAATAACGTTAAGTTTGGTGTAACTAATATTACATCCGGCAAATCGGCGTATTAACATCACCCACTATTGGCCGGTGAACTAGTAACAGGAATTAATACGATCCTGGAAGAATTCACGCAATAAATTACTCTCTGATTCATAACGGCCGGTGACCATCTTTAGTAGAGACCTCCAAATAGTCTAGCACAGCTATCTTGTGACTCCTAGCTAGATCAAGCTCAACCACCAACCAACGTGTTACTGACGAAAGAATACACTTATCACACAGCTAAACCAACACACGCTTTTGACCTCTACATGACGACAGGAAAAGAACGTATTTGAACGAAGTGTTGGAACTTGTACAACACGTAGAGAAGGGCCTTCAAGGAATAATATGCAGAGCCCGACCTAAAATTACTCAGCCAGTGAAGCATCGCTGCCAAGCCAGCACAAGTTTATGTCTATTGATATGCAGACACAAGATTGTTGTATTTACTTCAGAATCTCCATGACTTCTCTAGATTTCGCCTTCTTCCGAGCCTACAAATGGTCATAGTGAGATGCAACTTGCTAAGTCAACGACTTTCAACACCTTGACAAAAGAAAAACTCAAAACCTAGACTTCAATCGAGTGATAAACAGCTTCTTTAAAACAACCACTATTTCTTGTGAATCTTCGCTTACTGTCAGAGGAGCCGTACAAAATCTACAGGGCTGAGGAATGTGCCAAAGAATAGACCTGAGATATGGTATGAGATCACAGATCATTTATGATTACTAAGCATACCTCCCTGCGAATGTGGGGTTGTCGACTCTCAAAACGAAACAGCGTTCTCAAAAAGCTGTTTACCATATGATTGAAATCTTAGTTAGTTTCGACTTTGTTTTCCCGTTAGCATATGAAAGCACTTGGCTGCGCAAATCGCGTCCTACCGTGTCCTTACAAGGCTCTAAAGAACGCGAAATCCGCTGAAACGTTAGCCATTGTGAAAAAATTCTGTTTCAACAACTTCACGGCTACTTGACGAGAAGATATAAACTTATTGCTGACTACCGAAGTTAATCGAAAGCAAGTGCTGGGAATTGCAAATAAAATTAATATCCAGGCACGTAACATACCCCTGGACATTTTTAAAGGATAAGAAACGAGCACACCCACTTCTCAAGAGCCTGCGTTGCGCAGTCAATAGCATCTTGTTGCATGTCCTCGGACATATCGGCATTCTTAATCACAGCCTTACGATCGACCATTTTCTGCAAACAAACATTGGAAAACTATCCATAAAAAACGAATATAACATAAGTTCAGCGGCTTTAAAATTGCTATCAAATAACATATACTACCAAACTCAACTAAACTCATAAGAGTGTTTTCGCAAGTTAAAACACAGTCATATTAAAACCACAAATGAGGTGCAGCAGTATTGAAATCGAAAAAACCCTTTGTGCAATCAGCTCAAGAAAAAAGTGATTTATAAAAATTCCAGTTATGACAAAGAACTCCTGCTAGGTTATTAATTTTGAACAGACACCACCCACGAGACACACCCTTTCCGTTTTCCCAAACTCAGGAGATGAAACAATAGACAGCACATTGCACTGAACAGCACCTTCACCAACTGTCTTCTTTGTATAAAAACTAGTTTTACAATCGATTTATTTTGATCTCCACCCAACAATCCACTGCCTCATAGTGGTTGGGACGTGTTCTTCGGTGTCCTGCTATGATATACATCCGACAGATCTGTCCTACAAACAGGGTTTCTCAAGCTGAGGAGTCCGGCATTTCCATCAGAAAGCTTAGCTAAGAGTAAACCAATATCAAGATATACCACTGCCCTAGTATAAAACCAGTCGCATGGTGGCAAACCTTCCTCTAATCCACAAGAGTGGCAACTGCTTGTCATGGTGACGATCTGCGGCAGACTTTGGCCATGCTGACTGGGGATTCCAGGGAAGCACAATGACTAAACCAGGAAAACTCAAAAGACATGGGGGATTATGATGGGGCTTACACAACCAGTGAGGACCGCTTGCCTGGTTCCAAATAGGTAAATTATTCTGATGAGTAGACTGCATTTATGGTTTTATACAAGCTCCAAAGGACTGGGAAAACAAGTGATCATTAGTTGATGGCCTGAACATGACTTAAAATTATTAGAAATTATGGCATCTGGAACCCTACCCAATTACAGAAGAAATAAAATCTTACTTTCAGTACGGGTACTCGATTCGGTGATACTAACTGATCAAACAAATCAGTCGCTCGAACAACTAAAAGGCATCGCACAAAAATCCTCAAACACAATAAGAATACGAGCTAAAGATTGTCCTTCCGTCTCCCTCCCAGTGCCACGAGCCCAACATTTAATGATCAAAGAAGGAAGAAAGAACATGAGTGGAAAACGGAGAATTCTACACTGTTCCAACTCTGAAACTGTTTCAAGACATTTCTTTCAAAATCTTAGTTTACCGAGGAAGTATGCAGTGAATTTGGTCATTTGCAGGACCATCCCTCTACTAGCTTGTTGGGAAACTGTTGTCCGATTTGTGATTTCATTCCTTTTCTCTGATTGTGTTTTAACAATACTTTTTTGTTCCGAATGCTGAACTATTATATATCATTACCGAACTTATTTTATGCACTCTTCTGCCCTATAATTGAATCATTATGTAAATTGGGTTTTTGACAAAGCTTAAGTACTAGAACTTCAGATGTCACACTTTCCATAAATCTACTTCCACTGAATCTACGAATTCAAACTAGTACGTAGTACGCAAACGCAGAGTTAAAAACATTAACCTATAATGTCCGGTAAGAACACTACAGTGTCCGAAGGTCCCTAACCTATTCGATGATATGGATAATACTGTTTATTTTTAGTTCGGTGGATTCCAGAACTTTTTTTGCCATATTATGTATACCTTTTTCTATTTCTATATGACCCGTCTTTACGTCTACTGTGCGGATCCCAGCACTTCTCACATTCGATTCGTTTCTTCGCATCCATTATCTACAAAGATCTTCCAAATTCTATGTGTGGCTTCGACTATTACTTGAAGATTTTCACTTCATCTTGAATCTAGTAGAACGCTGGTCGTGTCAATTCTCCCTGAAGTCCTGAGATAGCCGGGCTGGAGCGTTCCCAAATGGATTGCAGAGAGTGATTTTTTCCCAGACAAGTCCCGTACCAATTTCCCGACCCTGGAGAGCTTCGTTAACCCGGAGCGGAATCGAACTAGCAACATGCTCGTGATGACCGATACCACTCTCACTGTGCTATCCACCCCCACTATGTATAGTTATTGGCTAGACATTCGAACTTAAATAAAAATAGGAGGGGTTACATCAGAAAGGCCATTTTCTATACTTAATGATCTATTAAAAACCTTTTAAAAAAGTTCAATGAGTAGAAATTAAACTGACAATTAGCGATTATTTCCACTTAATCACTATGATCATTGTTAAAATGTGCTCATACAAAAACCAATGAAAGATACACAACATAGGGTGCGAAGTACCTCCAAGTGCTGACAGTAATACATTTCCATAATGCGCCCGCCACACCTGAAGTCCTCAAGTTATTGAAAAGTGTTTTCTTTTTTCCAGAAAACCAAAAGACCGCAAACAACAACAAACTGCTCTGTTCCGTCCAGCCGCGCTGAATGTCTTGCATCCATCATGGACTAATGTGGTACACCTAGCAGAACTCGATACAGGCATCTTGATTGTTTCGGAGTAGCAAAAGAAAACTGCGAAGTCCAACAGACCTGATAAATGGATGCCACTCGAATTGAATAACAATCGAAGAAATCGCCGGTTTTGAGATATCGTCAGTGCTTCCTCCGCGCCACCTTAACGACCCCCTTCTCGATGGTATTGCGACGTTCGACGAAAAATGTATCGTCCATAACAACCGGCGACTATCGGCTCGGTGGTTGGCCGCAATGAAGTTCGGTAGACTTGCCAAACCCAAAATGCATCAGAGGAAGGCTACACTGACCGGTGTCTTACTGCTGGTATGAACCATCACAGCTTCCTGAATACGTGTTAAGCAATTACGGCAGAGAAGTACTTCCAATAAATCAACGAAATGCACCAGAAACTTCAATGGTTGCCTTCTCTTATTGATCAATATAAACGCAGCAGTCCTCCAAGATAACGACTGGCCCTGCGTCGCAGTACAGATGTTGCAAGATCGAACGAATTGGGCTACGAAACTCTACCCCACTCACCATACTCGCAGAATCTCTCGCCTACAGACTACTTCTCAAAAACCATACGGAAGCCAAAACTGCCGCTAGCGATTTCACTGCCTTCCGAAGTCCAGAATCTTATACAACAGCTATAGATAAACTTGTTTCTCGTTAGCAAAAATTCGATTGTAACAACCTAGTATGAACTTCGGCACTGACCAATCAGTTAATGTTTTGATCTTGAGCAGACACAACGTTGTTAATCTAAAAGATTAATTCACCTCTTACTAACATTTCGGAGGGTTTAAGTGTCTACAGAGGTCGGAACGACTAAATCGTTATTTATAATTTATAAGCCTTCCACTCATACACTGAATGTAATATTTGCTTTGTGTTCAAAAAAAATTTTTTTCTTCTTTCTAATATTACTTCTAAGACAGGAAACCCACTCGAATCCAGCTTGACCAACATATGCACGAGAAGGAGGAAGTCCGAATAGGCAATTAAAGGATGAACACTCAAAGAAGAAACTTATGAACTGATCCCTGATAATTCCAGACAACAATTTAGTTGTAAAGGGAGGATAGCGCATTGGTTGTGATGCTGAAGAAGGCTCGGCCTATCAAGAAGCAAGTTCGATGCCGACCTCCATCCTTCCGTGGTAGTGAAATTGAAGCCGGACTTGCCTCCGCCCGCTCGCACCTCTAATCCACGTCGGAACGTCGTAGTCCCACCCACTACCCCTGGATTCTAGAAAGAATCGACTCGACTAGCATTCAACGACATTCATGACGAAAACAAAAATATTCAAACAGCAGCCGAACTCCTACGCAGAAAGAAGTTTGAAGACCTTTGTGGATGGTGGATGCGAGGAAAGCAGTCAAATGCAGGAAGTGCTAGATCTCCACAACAGAATGCTTGCGATGTTGGGTCAAGTATTAAATAAAATAAATTAAGTTTAAAGACCATCTGAGACGCCAATAAAAACTATTTACATAAAAAAAATACCACAAGCAGATTGGCGGTGAATGAATAAAAGAAATAAGAGCCAACAATACGGTAACAGGAAGTTCTGACCTTTACATAAACCGCCCAAGTTATAAGCTGATAGAATTTGGATGGGAAAACTCGAAAAATTTACACATAACGTCAAAATATGGCTCCATAAGTGGTAGCACTTGACAAAGGAAAACAAAACCAAGTAGAAGACATGGCTTGTGTTGAACGGCGGCATGAACTGGAGGCGGTTACGCGACGGCTGGGCGGAGCCCAGCCCGCACAGCCGCGTCGCACAGCGTGGTCACCGCACGCCGGTCGCGTCCGATAGCCGCGTCGCACCGGTTCGGGCCGGCGCCGCCGCGTTGTCTTTCGCTTACACACCCAGACACGCCACCCACACTTGCAGTCTTGGGATGGAACGCAGTTGGTGTTCCGGGAGTTGGAGGAGGAGGACTCAGGGGGACGCGTCAGATGTGAAAGGGTAACTAGTAATGTAATGCAAGATAAAAACGCTGCTACCCTTGCTTTGTCTCTCTCCGCTTGCGGTATGTTAAATGAATGACGAAGTGGAAATTGATTAAAGGTAAGCGAGATGCTCCAACGTGATCTACGACAGTTCCGTACCCTATTATAAAAATAACTGTGAATATGTGATGAGCGGATCTGATTGGGTACGAAACCTCAGCAGAAGATTGCAAAACGGCCCATCTCACTTGGATACTTGGATGACCCGTGCTTTGCAGCGCTGACAGCCAGCACACTCTCGACGAGTTCTGTTCCCTCACGATCGTCGCTCATGGTGCTGATCCGTTCTGAAGACGATGATACTGAAGAATGCCATCATGTGATCCACAAATTGTTCCCATCTACGGACTTCTAGAGTAAGCTTCCAAGAGACGTGTACTCAGCGCATCTGGTACGTGCTCGTCCTCCTTCAAGACGCTTGCATCCATTTGAAGTTCATTCTACTGTTCTTTTTATCCATCTGTCATAAATCCCCGTCATCATACATCTACATTCCATCTCAATGTTTCCCGAATCTGAAATGTACTACT